TGAGCGGCGACGAGCACTTCTCGCTGGCCGTGCAGGAGGGCCCCGGCGGGGACCAGCGTCCCGAGCTGGTGCTGGCGAAGGCGCTGGACCGGGAGGAGGCGGCGTTTCACGAGCTGGTGCTGAGGGCGATGGACGGCGGAGAGCCGAGGCGGACGGGCACGGCGCGGATCCGCGTGTCGGTGCTGGACGCGAACGACAACGCGCCCGTGTTCAGCCAGGCGGAGTACACGGTGCGTGTGCCAGAGGACGTGCCCGTGGGCTCCGCTCTCGTCACGGTCACGGCCACCGACGCCGACGAGGGGATGAACGGACACGTGGAATACAGTTTCCATAAAATTTCAGACCGGGCATCGCAACTCTTTCACTTGGACTCTGAGACAGGAGAAATATCCCTTCAAGGCGATTTGGACTTTGAGGAAATGTCTGCGCATGAATTGGAGGTGCAGGCTCGGGACGCAGGAGAGCTTTCTGACACATCGAAAGTCGCGATCACGGTGACAGATGTGAACGACAATGCACCCGAAATGACGGTTTCGTCAATGCTAAGCGCGATCTCTGAGGCCTCGCCGCCGGGGACGGTGGTGGCCCTGCTGCACGTGCAGGACCGGGACTCGGGGGCCAACGGCGACGTGCGGTGCAGCATTGCCGAGCGCCTCCCGTTCCGTCTGGAGAAGACGTTCGAGGACTACTATCGCGTGGTGACTGCACAGGAGCTGGACCGGGAGGAGGTGTCGGCGTACAACGTGTTACAATGTGAGGTTGCGGGTGTCGACCGGCGGTTCCCCGCCGCTGTGGAGCAGCGCGGTGCTGGCGCTGCGCGTGCTGGACGTGAACGACAACGCGCCGGTGTTCGCGGAGGCGCGCTACAGCGCCCGTGTGCCCGAGAACAACGCGGCGGGCGCGCTGGTGCTGACGGTTCGGGCGTCGGACGCGGACTGGGGTCAGAACGCGCGCGTGCGGTACCGGCTGTGGGAGGGTCGGGTGCGCGGCGCGGCGCTGTCGTCGTACGTGTCGGTGCAGGCGGAGACGGGCGCGCTGTATGC